AACGAAAATGAAAATTTGCTTGATAATTCAACTACGCTTGTTGGAGAACAATAAAAACACTACACTCAACAAGCCACCAATAAAACTCAACTGCCTAACCTATAACCAAAGTCTCCTTTTAATTTGTTTTTAAAAAAAAGCGCTTGACAAACTTGCCCCAGATGCCGAAGTTGCCCCGGTCTCCCCTATACTTTTCACTTAAATAATTTTAGGCATTTTTCTAATTTCTTAAAATTTTAATGGAAAATATTTTTATAAAATTAGCAATTGTTAAATTATTCGTTGGATATTTACTGACATGTTTGTAAAAACGTTTATTTAGTTTGTTTTCTACCATATCTTCAAATCTTGCGACTTAAATGTCATTCACTTCTAATTAAGATAGAAGGCCGAAACTGTGAGAGCACACCTAAGTTGGATGACAATGTATTTAAATAATGTTTTACACGGACCTACTCCACCATTTCTCCCACCCCTAACCCGGTAATCATAATTATTTATAGAATGTAATTATGTGTATGTGTGTAAATGCATTGTTATGATGTATGTGGTAAGGGGTTGGCTGTACTAACCGTCCCTCATCCCAATCTCGAATAAATTAACCATTAATAACGTTTTTTAATTTTTTAAAATGAAATCTAGTTTTGTTTCAAAATATAAAGTAATATTTAATTTTTATAATTCTATAAATTTTAACAATTTTCCTCCTTTAAAAGTTAAATTGAGAAAGGAAACAGTTTTTTATAACGTTTCCTTTAATGTAAAGTACTGTACATAAGTTAATTGCCTTTCCTGTGATTATTGCTAAAGAAAATATAAATAACCGAGAGTTATGTATCAATTTATTTTAAAAATAAATTCTTTCTTTGCAAGAGGAGAAAAATGAAGTTGTGCATTTTGTTAATATCAGGAGTGATTGCATGCAATTTAGGTGCCATCAATGGCTTTAGAATGAAAAGAGATATGCTTGACTATTGTGGTGAGCGTGAGAAGTTTTGTATTTAATTTTCAAATTTCAAGTATAAATTATCTTAATTTTAGACAGATTTTAAAAAATTTCATAGTTTTAAATATATAAAAATATATTATAATCGCACTTCTATTTAATTTACATTGTTTTTCAGGTTTACCTGTAAAACTTCAAAATACTATATTGAATTGTATCCAGTCGCAACTTTCCTTTAAGGAAAGGCAAACGGTTAGTTATTTTAATATAATTAAATAAAATGTTGTTAAGATATATAAATATTAATATTCAAATATAATTTGTCAGTATTCGGATATTGCTCGATGCTTTAATAAAGATAACTTTATTGACCTTATGACTAAATTATGTGGCAAAACAAAAGAAGAGGTAATATAATTTCATTCGTTTTAGTATAATTAAAAATATTAATAAATATATATACATAAACAATTACAGAAGTATAATGTATATAATTTCTATTTCGTAGATTGATGCAATGGTAGAACTGCATGAAGATTGTTTGGAAAAGGTGGACTCTTATGATGAACTAAATGAAGTCGTAAGTTAAAAATAAAAAAAATAAACACAAATTTTTTTTTTTTCTACTTAATCATTTGCAATTTTTATACTTTTAGGTTATAGATGAAGTGGAGGTAGCGAAATGTGTCCAGAATAATTTCTCAAAAAAAAAAATTGACGTGTACGATTCGTAGCTGTTTAGTTTATCCAATGTTAAGCCATGTGTTAATTTTCATTAAATATGCGTAATTAATTCTTGTAAAATTTAATAATTTGTTTTTAAATTTACTATTTGCTTGTAATAAATTAGAAAAATTTAAATAAACAGTTTTGCATTACAAAAAGTATATCTTCTTTTAAATTACTTTTTTTTTAATTACTACGACTAAATAATATGTATAGCAAACAGGGTGATGTTATGTATGTTCGAGGTGGGTTGCATCAATGCAGTTTTAAAATAAGTACGTGTACATAATAGCGCTATATCGGGGTAGTTTATGTAAGTAGTCTCTTAATTTTTCTGCTAAGAGTTATCTTGGTGAGAGACGAAGTTAGATATCTGGAACGAAAAGTCTTCCTTAAACGTTTCGTGTGAAGTTTGGAAGTACCAAACTTCCAGATATTTTAAGTAGTGACCTTCTAAAGAAAGTAATGATTTTGGCGTAGCGTGATTGTATAAGAAATACGCAAGTAGGAGATACAGTGGCTTTCTTGTATTTGGAAGTGTTGATGAGAGAAAGATAACAAAACTATTTTACTACAACGGGACACAATGCATTATCCGGTCGGGAGTGACGTTGCATCAAGTTAGTTTTGAGCATGTAAATATATAAAATAAGGAAACCAATGCTATTATGCACTGTGAATATTTAAATATTGTTGATAGGCCTATAAATTAACTGTTGACAACGTAGTTGTCTTTATTAACGCAGCGATGGAAACAGAAAGAAACGTGTCTTGAAACATTTGTTTAAAGCTATCTCAGCTGATAACATGTGTCTGATATGCAACGGTCTTTATAATAAAGATAAAGATTGGGTTCCACTTCCTAAAATGTAATTTGTGGGCTCTGTTGATATGAAGTAGTGAATATTGCTATTATGAAAAAATGAATAAATATTTATTAAACAAGTCAAAAAGCAACCCCCTTGTATGACGCATCTAAGCCTTATACCTCGTAAGAATGGGATCGATTTAATGGTAACGGAATAAATGAAAAGCGTGATTTAATGTTTGACTAGATCAGCTACAAGATTTTTTTAGTGATATGATTTTGAATCACTATATTTTGCTTTAATTTCCTAATAGATTCACGCTGTTGTTTGATTTTATTCTCAAATAGTTATTTCTGTTTTTTCTATGATCAAGGATAAAAAATATTTTGAAAATGAAATAAATTTGAATTATTTACATTTTTTAAAAATCTTTCTGTTTAGCATTCTGGTTATGAAACTCGATTATTTTGTGTTTATAACAACAAACGGTGTCATTTTAGCTTCAATACAACACGAGAAATTTATATTAAAACTTGCTCTAATCAACTGATCTATGCTAACATGGCGTCGTCTCCATGGCGTGGAGCGCTTTTCTTAACTGTAATTTATAACAAATATATAAAGTTCGATAAGTATATGTTTAGATTTTTGTCATCTATATATATAATCGAGACGGGTTGATGATAATAATAAGCGCAGAGACCAAACGGTTAGGAGTTAAAGGTTAAAATTTTTCTTAGTGTACGTCATGAGAACGTACACTAAGAAGGGATTTTTCGAAATTTTTCCCGGGGGAGAGGGATAAGATTAAGGATTCAACAATGGAAGTGTTAAGTAACAATGGAAGTGTTAACAATAAAAGTGTTAAGAGAAAGCAACGTGCAAGACATTTACATGAGCAGATGTGGTTTTTTGCGTTTTTGCAGGAAATCGCACATATTATTAGACTCACCTAAATATTCTCTAATTAGTCTGGAAACATGGGAACTTAATTCTTGCATTCTGCAAAAACGAATAAGATTGGCTATAATTTAATAATCTTAATCTTCGCTATCGTTACTTTTTGCCCATGCAACGCCGGTCTTCTCTGGTAGTATGCTTGTAATTAAAGTTTTGATTACTAACTAATGATTAATACGTAAGAAAACGGAATTACGTATTTGACGTCACACGACACATATGCCACGTCGCATGTTGCCTGCGACAATAGAATAATTGTTCTTGTCTAACCCGAGTTTATTGATGACGTGATGTACACGTGATAAAGTTATTTACAGCTTCATAAACAATAGGATCAATTTAACGGTAATGGAATAAATCGAAAGCTTGATTTAATGTTTGACTAGGTAATAAAAATTCTAAAAATGGAAAAACTTAAGCTTATAATTCGTTGAAAAAAATGTATAGCCTAAATAAAAATATAATTCTTAAATAAGCTTTAATCTGTACACATTTTTAGTGCGAGCGTATTAAATCTAATGATGTCAGTGTCACTAGTATTATAAGTACTGTACAGTATTTTGGTAATTATAAATTATTGAGATTCTCGATATAGATTTCCATTTCTTACAAATCTATTGTTACTATTTCGGAATAATAATACGTTTGTCAATTGTTTTGTGTTAACCATACTTTTTATTAATATTTTTGTGTGGTTATTTTTTGACAGGATTTATAAAAGAAAGACAACAGAAGGAAAAAGAAATCTGAAATCTTTGCCGATAAAAGACATTTTACATAAAAAAAAAGAACCAAGATACCTTGAAAGAAAAGGTAACAGCGATGAAAGCAGGAAGAAACATGTCTTGAAACATTTGTTTAAAGCTATCTCAGTTGATAACATGTGTCTAATATGCAACGATCTTTACAATAAAAATAAAGATATAAAGATTGAGTTCCACTTCTTAAAATGTAATTTGTGAACTCAGTTGATATGTACTAGTGAAGATTTCTACATTATATGTTTGTTGTACAATAAAAAAATGAATAAATATTTATTAAACAAGTCAAAAAACAATGAGGAACTTAACCGCTTGTATGACGCACCTTCTCTGTTACAGGGAGACTTGGTGTATTTTTGATCGTTTTATGCAATAAAAAATAATATTCTTATATTTTAAATTTATTTGTCTTTTATAAAGCTAAAACATATAGTTATGCAAATCAACTAAAAAGTAAAACATAAGAAAAAAACAAAATAAAAATATCTAAAATTGATTCAATTACTTTCAATCCCCTCTACTAAATTAATTGAACGTTGTTTAATTGTATTTTTCACAAATTTTAAAAATTAATTTAAATCTCTAAATGTTATTTTTACAATACAATATAAATATATTATCTCGGATTCAGATGTACTCAATGTAACATTATAATATTTGGATAAATGGAATAAAATCAATTCTAGACTCGAATGTAGTTTACTCACGAATTGCAAAATTTGCATTTATTTATAAGTTAAGACATAGAGTTTCGTTAGATTACATTTTATTCGAGTTGCCTTTTATACTAATTTAGTGACACAAAACTGTCTGACAGACTGAGAATCAAATTTTCTTTCTGGCGACATAACAAATACTTTTGTCTTACATTTATTAGAAAAGCATATGTTTCCTTACGTGCGCAATGTAAATGCAGATGTTCTGTATACGTGTAGGCTTTTTCCCACCAAAACAATAAAATTATATAAAATACGATTTAATTTGATTTCTTAAAAGGTTTTATTTTCATTCTTGACAGGTGACTGTAAAATAAGCTTATCATAAACGAAGGCTAAAAAAATAGAAATTGATGTTACAGAGCTTTTTGTAAGAAGCATATTTAGTTACTAAACTGTCAAACAATACATTCGTATAAAAAATGTAATATTTAGAAATTATAATATTATCGTTATATTAAAAAAAAAACATGAAATCTGAGTTTCAATTATTTCTTCGTTCTTCTTATCCATCTGCATCATCTGCTTGTTCTCCACGAAAATGATCAAACCTGTAAATCAGTCTTCACTGCAGAGTCTCGTTGTTATGAAAGTATATTTTGTTTCCGTTATTTCTGGGTAAATGTATTTAGACAACGAATAATAAGAATAGAAAAATTGAACGTTAGATTAGACATATAAATTAGAAAAAAATAGAGAACTTTAAGTAATAGTAAATACATAATTGTGTACAGTTTATAAAAATTTATTTTAAAAAGGTAAACACTAAAATAATTCAAATAATAATATTTAAAAAAACACATAAATTATTAACACGATTAAAATCATTGAAAAAAAAAATAGTTATATGCTAATAAAAACTGTTGTAAAATGTATGTATAACATATAGAGGAGAGAAGGGTATTATGGAATACCATTTACTTTTCTAAAAATAACTTTATTGGTTTTTGAATAAAAATCCCAAAATCATCATGAGTACATACTATAAATAAGTGTAATGAACTGTCACTTGTAAAAAAAAAGTACTATTTGTTTCGTTGTTATAAAAAAAATTATTTAAAAAAGTCACAAATGGAAGGTAATATGGAATAGTCGGGTAATATGGAATAGGTAGTTTAAACTATTGAAAAACTAATTAGACTTCATAAAACATAGTTATTTTTAACTATAAAAACCATATTTTTAAGATCATGTGCGTGTCATTTCTGCTTCGAGTATATTTACAAAAGTCACAGATATAATTTTCTTTTTCTGCTCTGGTACAATCAAGGTGAGCCCACAGAGTACAGATGAAGCATTCAATCTAAATTTTCTCTTGTTCATCTTCGGAGAATTTTCCGTTACAGAAGATACATTCATCGTCTTCGTTTTTTGGTTCTTTATTTGACGGCATGAAGTCCATTACAGATGATACGTCAGAATGGAACGATTCATCTGCTAATACGAGTCATCTCTAGTAGGTTTAGGTCTAGAATGTCGGTAAAGTTTAATTTCTTAACAGGTGATCTTTGAATGTTCGGTTTCTTTTGTTGTTTTGAAGTTTCTGGTTCCTTCTTTTTCTCCTTTTCTTTCAGTTTATCCATTCATCCTAGTGTATTCCATAATACCCGACACGCCATCTTGAAAAATGAACCTTTAAACTGATAGATAAAAAATTTTCAGCTAAAAAACGACTACAGTATAACAAACTACAATTATTTTAGTGTACATTATGCTTAACATCAATGTTCAAGTCACATGTGTACTAGTAGGATAAAATGTTTGAAAACTTGCCTGCAAAAACTCTTGAAAATCACAAAACACACTTTGTTCTGTAGCGAGTGGCACGACAACAACAAGCGGTCAACTCTCACTGAACTGCATCGTAGGAG